TATCTAATGTGTATATTAAAATAAAGGAGGCTAACCTTTCCAAAAAAAATGTTTTTAGATAATAATTTGTTGTTAATTATGAATAAATGATCTGCACAAATTTTTCTTCAGAGTAAAAAAGATACTTATATTATTCAATTTTTCGCACTTATTTCAAATATATATTTTCCACCACTAATAATTTTTTATATTATTACTAATTAGTTAAAAACTATAGGATATAACTATAAGGAATATAGTTTTGAATATTTCAATTACATCATCTATACCAGAGTTACATAGAAATTATAAATATTTTTTTTAAAATGATTTTTACGATAAAAAAAGTAAATTTTTCAAAAGTTCAAAATAAAAAAAAACTCAGCAAAGGGAATCGCGGCTTAGTGAGAACGTGGTATAGTTAGGTCCAAAATAGATGATATCTGACAGTGATTAAAATTACTATCATAAAAAACTCTTCGATACAAATCTATAGATTTTAATTATAATCTTTAATTTAAAAAAATTGGTTGATTATTCTAAAAGCAAAATTAACTCCTAGGAATTTATATAAAAAATATATAAGGGATATATTTTATTTTAATTTAAAAAAAACAACGGTAGCACAGTAGGCTTACAGCATAGATGAGACAAGTATAGATGATATCTTATAGTAATTAAAATCACTATCATAAAAAACGCTTCGATGCAAATCGTTAGATAGTGTTAAATTTAACAAAAATGATGATCTCCTATATTCTTATTTTTATCCTGATTACAACTTTTATATATATATAATATAATCCCTCAGGGGATGCACTTATTTGTGCTACGGGTTTGGCGTACCCGGGGCCCCGAGCTCTGAACTAAACTTAACTGATTGGTTCAGTTTGGTCCTCTAGATTGGGGGTTAAGCGCAGGGCTAACAACCCTGCCTAGTAAAAAAAACTCTGTTATGAAACCAACTACACCTAAGCCTCGGACAAGACTACATGGATTCAAGACTGGTTTTTGGAAACGGAATGCTGATTTTAAGATTGCGACATGGAATGTGACAAGCTTGTATAAAACAGGTGCTAGCCAAAATTTAGCTGAAGTTCTTAACAAATACAAAATTAAAGTAGCAGCCATACAAGAAATAAGATGGTTGGGAGTAGGACAACTAACAATTGGAGAGTACACAATTTTCTTCTCTGGAATGGAAAATACACATCACTTCGGTAGTGGTTTTGCAGTCCATAGGACATTAGTACTATACATTAAAGAGTTTAATCCAGTATCTGAAAGGATATCAATATTAACCATCAACACTAGCCCAATTAATATTTGTATAGTAAATGTACATGCACCTACGGAAGTAAAAGATGATAATGTGAAAGATGCCTTCTACGACGAACTAACTAATACATATGAGAGCATTACTGGGAACGTGATAAAGATTGTAATAGGTGACTTCAATGCAAAATGCGGACAGGAACCACAATACTTCCCTTGTATAGGGAAAGAGAGTTTGCATAGTAACAGCAATGACAATGGTCAGCGATTGATAGCGTTTGCAATATCAAATGGGTTGACTGTTAGTAGTACTACGTTCCCCACAAAAATATTCACAAAGTCACGTGGAGGTCACCGGATGGCGAAACCTTGAACCAAATTGACCACGTTCTCATACAGACTAGATACCGTAGTACCATTTACGATGTAAGAAGCCAGAGAGGCGCCGATTGTGACACGGATCACTACTTAGTGATTGCAAAACTTAGATCAAAGTTAAAAAGCCAATTGAAATTAAAGCAAGAAAAAAGGATCAAAATTAATCTAGAGTTACTCAAAGATGAAATCGTGAGGAAGAATTATGAGAACGAAGTCACGAAGAACCTTAAAGAGAATAATGCACAAATGAACATAGATCTGGATTGGGAAATAGTGAGAAACGCTGTTAACAAAGCAGCGGCCACTAGTATTGGTGAGCTAAAAAGGTCAAGAAATACTTGGTATAATGATATTTGTAGAGTTTCTGTAGACAGACGCAGAAAATCGAGAAATGAATTTATTAAAAACAACACTCAAATGACTAAAAAAAGTTTCTTACGGGAACGTAAAGCCTGCAAAAGCACCCTTCAAAGGTAAAAAAGGAAATTTTTTAGCAACATACTTCAAACAGCAGAGAACGACCATACACAAGGGAGAACTAGAAACTTTTTTAGAGTCATTAAACAGTATAAGCATTTTAACCCTATATGGAATGCAATCAGAGACCAAGACGGACAAATGCTAATGGAACCAGAATCAAGAGCTGAGAGATGGAAAGGTTATTTTGAAAATTTACTAAATGGGAGAATACCAGATCAGCCTGTAGCTCATATCGATTATGAAAGAGCGGAGCCCTATGTCGAGGATGTTAACCTAGAAGAAGTAAAAAGTGTATTATTTGGCCTGAAAAATTAGAAAGCACCGGATACCGATAATATTCCAGCAGAACTCTTAAAATACGGAGGTGAGGAGCTACATTTAGTAATCCACAGACTGTGTCACCTAATATGGATGGAAGAACGAGTACCGGATAGCTGGAATGAGGCAATCATCATACCATTGCATAAAAAAGGAGACAAGACAAAGTGTGACAATTATAGAGGGATATCGCTCTTAAACTCCACGTACAAGGTCTTCTCTAGGATATTACTGAATCGCATTATCCCTTATGCAGAGGATTGCCTAGGTGAGTACCAATGTGGTTTTCGGAAAGGTCGTTCAACCACAGAACAATTATCCATAATAGGTCAAATAATTGAAAAGAGATACGAATATCGGCAGAATATGTGGCAACTCTTCATAGATTTTAAAAAGGCCTATGATAGTATACACAGAGAGAGTCTCTACAATATTATGGATGAGTTTGGTTTCCCAAAAAAGTTAATAGCGCTAACTAAAATGTGCATGGAAGACACAAGGTACAGAGTAAGAACACAGAATGTAACATCGGATACCTTTACAGTGGAAACCGGACTAAAACAGGGGGATGCTCTTTCCCCAGTACTTTTCAATCTTGCCCTAGAGAAGGTAGTAAGATTACTACAGGACAATGAAGGTGGTTTACTAATCGGCCAGAATAAGATACGGCTCCTCGGATTCGCTGACGATTTGGATATACTTGGCGATTCGCTTGCAGACACAGCTAACGCTGCCAGAGTGCTAGAAAAAGCAGCGAAGAAAATTGGTCTTGAGATAAATACTGAGAAAACGAAGATAATGGAACTATTAGATAGTGGGGAGGACCCCAGTGAGATGGAGAATTTAGCATACGAAAAAGTTAGTGATTTTAAATATCTGGGAGCAAAGTTAAGTACAAAGAATGATTGGTCAAAGGAAATAAGTATTCGGATAAATAAAGCCCAAAAAACGTTTTACACAATGATTAAATTCTTTACATCCAAAATTCTATCTAGAAAAACGAAAGCAAGATTGTACACGGCTATTATAAGACCGACTCTCACGTATGGTTGCGAAGCGTGGACAACGACCAAACAAACAGAAAGAAACCTGAGGACTTTTGAGCACAGAGTGTGGAGGAAAATATGCGGACCGGTCATCGATGAAACAACGGGAAGTTGGCGGAGAAGGTACAACAGTGAACTATATGACATGTTGGAAATAGCACCGGTAACAAGTTTTATTAAGGGCCAAAGAATACAATGTTTAGGACACATAGCGAGAAGAAGAGAGAACGAGATAGCCAGGGTAGCATTGGAATGAAAACCACAAGGGAAAAGACCTAGAGGGAGGCCAAAGAAAAGATGGATCGACGTGGTAGAAGAAGATTTAAGAATCCTTGGAGTTGAAGACTGGAGAGAGACAGCCCAAGATAGAGATAGGTGGCGAAGCGTAGTAATGGCGGCAAAAACTCTTAGAGAGTAGGAATGCCAGTAAAAGAAGAAGAAGATATATAATATAAATATATAAAGAGACATGGTATAATTTAAAAAAAAAATATGTCGCATAAAAGAAGAATATAAATGGTACTTATCTTAAAAAAATTATAATGATTCATACATTTTTCAAAAAATTATACAGCCAAAAATTTAAAAATAGAATTTTTTTTCAAAAATCGTATTTTTTTATTAACTTTGATGTATGTTTTAACCGTGAAGACAAAATAAAGTCAGAAATTTTATTTTTCATAATAAAGTATATTACATTAGCTTTAATTTAAGATATATATAAAAGTGTCATACTTTCAGGAACACTTTCAAAAGTTAATTTTTTATGAAAAAGCTATCAATTTGAACCCCCCCCTATGGGCAGGTAAAGGGTCAGATTAATAAAAAAAAATATATTAAATAATAGGTAAAAACATTATGCACCAAAAAAAAAAATTATATTGATTTGTTCATTTTTTGTAAAAGTTATAGCAGTTTTAATTTAAAAAAATTTCGAAAATTAGCGATATTAAAATTTGTAATTTTTTTGGAGGTTTCTCCCATTTACGGGGAACGAGGGAAATTTTTTTAATTTTGGAGGGTGATGTCTTCGACTAGATACGATTTGTGATATTTTGACGTATCGTTAAAAGAAATCCGTTCGGTGAGAGTTGAGAAAAAGTGGTAACAAACACAAAAAAAAAAATCACATCATAGTAAAATTAATACCTTCTCAGCTTCGCATTAAAGCTAAAAAAAGTTATTAAATTATTTGAAAGAGTATTCTTAAATTTTATTTGACCATTTATTCGTTTTCTTTTTGCTTGAATTTAAAGTTACCATGTAGTTGTATGTATAAAAAGACAATTAACGCTTCTATACCTATTTGGTGTTCCATTATAAAAAATTCAAGAAATATTAAACATTGGGTATACTGATAACTTGTCACTATTACAAATTGATATGATTTTTTTTTAACCGTAAATTCCATAAGTGTTATCAGCTACCATTTTAAAGCAGCTGATTACACAAACTGCTGGTTTACCTATTTTTTTTCTTGCTACATGAAATTTTATTGAACAACAAATCAGCTGTCAGCAAACAAGAATTTATACATCGCTTCAGTGTAATCTTTGACTAATAATAATAATACGTGAACACTTAAGTAACGCCCCTCCACAATTACAAGTACTTATCTAATATTACCACCTCTACTATTTTTGCGTACTCATCATTACCACTACTATTTTTTTAAATACAATATACTTTTATGATTGTTGGTGCAGTGCAGTCATAAGATCATAAGTGAATGTTGGTCAACCATTGTGTAGAATTAGGTATTTAGACACCGGTTAGCAGCCTTTTAGAATTTAGCCATTTTTACCTTTAAATACTGCTTAAAAAAGTAAGTAACTCTACAGTATTTTCATTTAACATGATACAATTGTAGTTTTCAGTAGAAAATATGTATATATACATTTTTTCCATTGTAAAATCATATCATAAAAACATTTGTCTTTATTTGCTTATATGTGTGGGTGTTATATATTCATCACGAACTTGATTATTTCTCAATAAAATGGTAGAAATATTATTTTTTCAGTATTCTTAGCATACATTTTCACAACTGGTTCCAGTTTAATTTTGAAAACTTTTAAAACAAACCCTATAAATAGTTAGTATGACCTTTTTAAAATCCTTAATTTATTTTTAATTTCAGTGTCCAAATGAAGGGTAGCATTTTTGTCTTACTTATATGCAGCTTGGCATTTGCGCACAAGTCTAAGGACAATAAAACTAAATGGTGGAGTGTTCCAGAACCTGTAGCAACAGTTGGAAAATTATTTTATTTTAAAATACCCCATGATTCTTTTATTGAAAATACTGGACCTATTGATGTAAGTATTATTTTTTCCGTGTGAACTAAGTTTTATAATTTTTATGTATTTCTATTAAAAATATTTCTTACATTATAACTTAATTAATGTAAATAACAAATGCTTTTACTATTAAAAGGCTTGATATCAGCCATTTGAAAATTCTTGGATATAGATAGGAGTGTAGATAGAGATTATTTGTTGGGAGTGTCGAATACCAATTCCTAACAAATTATTTTTAATTGTATATGATCATAATTAAAAATTGTTTATAACAGGAATGGGATTTGAACCCCTAACAGCAATCTATCCTAGAGACATCATTTATAGTAGCAAAAAATGTTTATATTTTTATTTACCTAGTATAAATTTACAATCATTATTACAAACTTGGATTTAACCATTCTTCAGTAACCTAGATTTAGCCTAACTATAATACTAAATTTGAGTTTAAATTTTCTAATTTAAAGTGCTATGATCTAAATATTTTTATTTCAAAGTAAGTATCAAGTATAATTTCATAATTAATAAATTTTCACAATGGCATAAAATTATTAGCTACTTGTCTTTTAAAATTTTTGATTAAGAAATACATGCTATAATTTTATTATTTATTTATAGGTATTATAGTTAAAAGCTAATTTTTTTTTATTTTAGAAAATCAATTAACAAATAGTATTAATTTTTAAGTAAAATGAAAAATATTTATTAAATTAAGCATTTTTTTAATAAATACTTCATAATTTTTTTAAGTTTCTCGGTCAAGATGGTGGAGGACTACCAAGCTGGTTAGTGCAAAGTAAAGATGGTGAACTGGAAGGTATTCCAGGACCTGAAGATGTTCGTGATGGTTTATTAGTTCGTGCTGGAGATAAAAGTCGAAAATCAATTTCTGATGTAGCGTATATTAGAGTTACACCTTTAAAATGGAAAAATGTTCGAAATAATGTTAGCACAAACCTATTATTATTATATAAATCTATTATTTCACCTTTATGAAATAAAATATTAATATGACACTGACTATGAAATTTGTATTTTTTATCAATTAAATTTTATTCTATAAAATATAGTTTTATAAAAAAAAAAAAATTATGAACGTTCCTTTTTTCATAATTATTAATATTTGAAATTCTCTTATTCTTTATTTAGAAACGATGCAAGGTATCTGAAGATTCAATACTTCTTTGTCTTGTAATTGGAATGAACTTCAAAAGCATACAACCTTTACAAAGACTAATTGCCCTAAAAAATCTTGCTGGATTTTTGAATCTTCCACAAGTAAAAAATTGTTATTTTTATCAATACTTATATTTTACAAACTTATTATATTGTTAATAATGAATTTTAGGACTCAGTGCTTTTAGTTCCCCAAGAAAGTGTATCATCATGGTTAATGGATTATTTAGTGTCAACTGAGAGACAATCGTATAAAAAACATCAATATAATGACACATCATTTGTCTTATGGGAGGTAAATAATATTTCATATCTTATTATTTAAATAGAAATGTAGTATGTTATTTAATATAAATTTGTAAGGTTGGTTGTGGAGGAAGTATTTGGCTAGAACATATTGATCATGTTCGTCAGATGCAAAGTAATGCTGTTGATGGAACATTGTCCGAAGTACTGCAACTTCCAGTGACAAGCTATAGATTAGTAAATTCATTGAACCCTTTAAGAGGACGGCGTCAAGTATGATAAAGCTATTTATTTATTTATTAAAAATAAAAAATATAATATGCATGAAGGTAAATGGAATGAAACATAGTAAGGTCATTACAAATTTTGAAATTGGAGATTCTGAAGAAAAAAAAAATGTTCAAGATGACATCAACAATGATGAAGATGATGATGATATTTCGGATGACGATGAAATTATTCCTGATTCAAGAAAAACACTTGTAGAGCCATCTCCAGTTTTTTTGCCTGATCAATATGATACAGATCATCTTCATAGACATCATCGTAGAGATGAATCAGTTATGGATTTCCAAAAAGACTCTATAAGTCCCTCGCCTGTATTGGTAAATATATAATAAAGTAAAATATTTTCCCTTTTCAAATTTTAAATTTTACTTTAGGATTCAAGTCAAGTACCCTCAGTAGATCCAAATGGTGTTGTTAGATCATATAATAATATTCAACCCACTCCAACATTTTTTGAGTCTATGTCTTCTTCACCTACAACACCTGAATTAGCTGTATGAAAACAAAATAATAATAAAACAACTGGTATAACTAAGTTCAAATACTTTGTTTTGTCTTGTAGGAATCAGTTGACATGAATGAATCTTATGCTACTACTATGATTGATGAGAATGTGTCTACAGAAACTCCTGCCTTAGCTCAAGACAAAGTAAAAGAAATTATCAGCAGCGATTCTGGCAGTACAACAACAATTTCCACAACAACAAATTTCGATGATTCCAACTCGCCTCCGTTTGTAAAAAAAAAATTTTCCAAACTACCTATTACTGCAGGAAAACCTTTAAAGTATGATTATTGTATCAATTTTAAAGTCTAACTTATTAATTTAAAATTTTAACACATTTTTAGGTATGCTATTCCTAATACTGTATTTTATGACTCAGAAGATGGTGATGTGAAAAATTTAAAATTATCAATATTAAATACAGATCCAACATTATTATCTTGGATAGAATTTGACCAGGAAAATCAAATATTATATGCATTGTATGTATTAATTTTATATATTTTAAATATGTATTAAAATTTTAATTATAATACTAAATATGTTATTTAAATCATGAATTTTGGTAAATTAAAAACTTCTTTTAAGTTTTCAAGAACTTCCATTCTACAAAAAAAACAATAATCCTGTCTAATTTTGGAATTATTAATAGTGATATGGTTGATTTTTTAAATTGTCTTTTTTTTTCTTTGGTACAACCATTTAATTATATATATAGTTTAATTTTAATTTATGGATTAGCTGCAACAACCAGCTTGCTCTAATTTTTTAAAAATTAACTTTTTGATAGAAATTTTACATACTATTTTTTGTAAAAATGTAATTAATAGATACATTTAATAATTTTTCATTAAATTATAAGAAAAAATGTTAAATTCCATTTTCCTAAATTTGAATGTAAAACAAATTTGTTTTTTTTTCTCCTAAAAATTGTTCAAAAATGGAGTAGCAAATTCTGAAAATAATTTTATTATTTTAAACTAAAAGTTCTACTTTATATACAGTTTAAATTATTTTTCCTATTATAATGATATTATAATTGATATAAAAAAAATAAAACAAAAACATTCAAGTTTTTTGACTAAACAGTCATATTTAATTAAATAATCTAATATATTGTTACAATTATTTTTTTCCAAATTTTATACATTATATAATCTGAAAAAAAATACAAGAATATAATTTACTAAGCATTATTCTAATTTTATTTAAAATATATTTGTAGACCTTTAGATAAACATGTTTCAAAATGGGAAGTCATTATTCAAGCACAAGACTCTGGTAAACTAACTGTAAATGATACTCTTGAAATTGCAGTTCATCAATTGCCTCATTATCGTGCTATTAATCATAAGATCATATTACAAATGCATTTAAAACCAGATTCATTAGCTATGACTCGCCCAGTTAGCTGGAGTTTAGATATAATTGAAAAGCTTGCTGCAATTTATTCTTGTGATACTAATAATATTACAGTGTTAGATATACCAAACCCTGCTGTATTATTGGCTAATGAAGATAGAAGAAGTATAAAATTTATTTGGACTAATGATACTCTACCACGAGACGTATGCCCCAATGAACAAATACTACAAATTCTAAGTGTAAGTCTTCTATTATAATTTTTCTATATATAAGTTAAAATATTATGTTGATAATTAATTTGCAGAATTTAAAGCCACAAAAAATTAATAATAATAAGTTTACAAAACTACTGGGTACATCAGTTATTTTAGAAGATATCAGTTGGGAAGGTTTAAGTAATTGTGCATCTCCACCTATATCAAGTCAAAATTTCCAACCTGTACTAAGAAATCCAGTTGATCTAATAAATGCTTCCTATGGGCAATTGTTATCTTATATTGTGCCTGAAGTAAATACATATTTGGTATAAATGTTTTTTGAGTTTTCTTATTTTATACCTAATGTCTTTTAGGATACATTCTATGACCCAGATGATGGTTCTTCAAGAAGATTGAAGTTATCACTAATGACTATTGATCGTTCGCAAGTACCTTCAAATAATTGGTTGCAGTTTGATCCTAAAAATCAAGAATTTTATGGAATTCCAATGTGGAGTGATAAAAATTTTTCTGAATATCAGTTGGTAAGATTAAAATATATCTTTAAATTGAAACATAGCTAATTTTTATTTTTTTCAGATATGTACAGATAGAGATGGAAAATCAAATCATGACAGCCTTGTTGTATCTATACACAATGGAACTAAACCCTTAACTACTGCTGAATTTAGTATAATTTTTAAAAAGCCAGAATTTAAAGAATTTAACAGCTCAGCTAAATTAAAAAAGATATTCATTGAGCATTTAGCCAAACTTTTTAATGATAGCGATACATCCAATATTGTATTACTTGATATTAACATAGTAAACAGTATGACTAAGGTGACTTGGTACAATAAAACATTAGATACCAATAAGTGTGATGAAAAAAAAATTCTTTATTTACGAAAAGTATGTATTATTTTTAAGCATTTTCTAATTATTTTTATGAATTATTATCTTAAAATATTATTATATTAGCAATAAAATTTTGTTCTGAATTATATGTAATTAAACTGTTAAAAAAAATTGATACCCTTGAATATTCTTTTGAAAAAATCTAAAAAAAGAATAAAGTAAAAATAAATTAGATAAATTAAAATAGTTATTTCAAAAATACCATAGGTCATATTTATAAAAATTTTAGAAATAAGTTAAACCTTCTGGTTATCTTAAACATAGCTTCAAAAAACTACATAATCCCTTTAAATTCCAATTTAATATGTTTAGATTTTGTTAAATGATGAAGAAAAGTTGAAAGAAAATGTAGCTAAAATTATGAGTACATCATTTCATGTCATTAGTGCAAATGTTGTACCAACTGGTATGTGTGAAGGTGGATTTATTGAAGTACGGCGAAAACCACCAAAAAACATTTTATCTGTTGATGATAATATATGGATGTTATTTGATACAACAGATCAATATTTCTTCACTTTAATTGTTCCAGCTATAATCATTTTAGCTATGATATTTATTGCTGGACTACTAGCTTGTTTCTTATATCGCCGAAGACCCTCTACTAAATTAAGAATGGGGGATAATGAACGACAAAGTTTTCGTAGTCGTGGTATTCCAGTTATATTTCAGGTAATAAATCATTACATACAGCAGATAAAAAAAACATTTTTATGAGTAGTCAAATTTACAATACCAATAAAAAATATTTCTAAAATAGTAACCTACACATTTAAACTTTGAATTCAACAATTTAAATGCTAGTGATTTTTAATTACTTTTTCAATATTTTATTTTATATATTTAAATTCAAAGATTTTATTTAACTTTTTAACTCTTATCTAACTGTCAACATAGTACATTATTGTATAAAACAACCAATGTTAATAGTTAGTAACATTTATACAATATATGAACCTTTTTTTTTCCAATTGCCTTTCTAATGTATATTTTAGCTTTGGTATAAAACTGAGAATGTATAAATTTTACTATAATATGATTTTTAATTCAAATAATAAGGTATTTTTTTAGTTATAAATTTTTGACATATTCTGGATATCCCAACACCTTCAATTAAACATTAAATTAAATCTGATGATTAACTTTAAGCTATATAAAAAAAAAATTCTTATGGCATTTCTAGTTAACATTGGATGTCAAAGTTAAAAAACATGTAATGTAAAAGTTGTCAATTTTTTTATCATAAAATATATTATTTTTCATAGTAATGCCTTAGTAGTATAGATGTATTTTATATAGTTCATTTGCTTAAAATCATTTTATGAAAATTATTTTGATTACTATCACAAATTAAATTTATTGCTAGGATGAACTCGATGAAAGACTAGAACCAACTAATAAAACTCCAATAATAATGAGAGAAGAAAAACCACCACTTCCACCACCTGAATATCAACGATCCTTTCCTATGGCTACTACTGCCTTATTAGCAGACACAGAAGACTCACCTTATCAACCACCACCTCCACCATTTACAAGTATTGGCTCTAATCATAGATCAAAACCAACTTCTACACCCTCATATCGCAAGCCTCCACCTTATGTTCCTCCTTAAAAAGCCTGACATATGTATATGTAGATTTTTACATATATTGTAAACTGGTCTCGTAAATCAATTTGACTGATAAATTTTTTTTGTCATTGTTTGGAACTCCAGTTCCAGTTTAAATTTAAATTATAAGAAATTGCTAATTAAAAGAAATAATTCTAATAGTTTATATTATAACTTGATTTTTTTATTTTATTTTATTCATTGTATTCAAAGAATTTTTAGAACTTAATATCATACTAGCTATATATATATATTTTTTTTTTTTGGTGATTAAAATTTATTGTACCAAATTAGATTAATATTTATTTTATAATTGTGTAAAAAACAATTTATAACAAAATAATTCTTATTCTTATTAGCAACTGTTTTGATTTCTGTAAAACAATTTTTTATTGATTTATTATATGTATCATTCATCATCAACTATAGTTGTTAAATTTAATATTATGTTTGCATTAATTATATTTTACTGATAATTTTTAGTTGACAAATTATACAAACTAGTAGTAATAAATAATTAAATTAAGATCTTAATTATGTATAAATATTAGATTTAAAAATGTATTGTGTGATTTTTTTATTTAGTAAATCTTATGATGTAGATAGTTTTAAAAACAGTATTATATTTTTAAAACGATATATATATATATATATTTTTTTTTTTTTTGAATTTACAAGTCTTCCTATCAAATTCCATCAATTTCAATTCAAATAATCTTTATTTTTTGTATTTATTACTGTTGATATATACGCACTTAAAAATCAATTTGAAAAATACTTTCAAAATCATTTAATTAAACTTCTTAATTAGAAATTATTATAGTTTTATTTAGTAAGTGTGTATAAGTAAATTTGTATTTAGATGATTGAACACAATGTGTTATATTCATATTTGATGGAAATAAGTTAATTGATTTAATTGTATCTTGTTATACAAAAAATATTTTAATTTATCTGTATATTGTAGTTAATTTTTTGTAACAACTTTAATAATATTGTTTTAATATAACATCATGTAGTATAATGTGCTTTTGATTTTTCAAGTTTTATACAAGTATAATTTTTTAGAAAGTGCACATATTTGATTCTGTAACAGAGAAATAATTATATTTGTAACAAGTTTTAAAATAATCAAAAATAATAAAATACTTTAAATAAATAATAATAGATACTAAAAAAAAAGTGAACTATATTTATTATTAATGTATTTACACAAATGGAGAGATAATACATTTATAACTTGAGAATTTACAATTGCAAAAATAAATATAAAAAATAAGTATTTAATATTAAGAGGAAGATCTCTTATGTTTATTTTTTTTATGTTTTATATGGTCAGATTTATGTTTTCTATGAGGTGATTTTGAATGTTTACTCTTTTTTGATTTATAGTGTCTGGACCGATCACTGTAATCACTTTTCTTCTGATATTCATGATTTTTCTGAGATTGATATTCAATTTTATGANTTTCTGATTTTCTTCTGATTTCTGATTCATGATTTTTCTGAGATTGATATTCAATTTTATGATTATCATTTAACATTGATACAGAATTTTTCCCTTGATGATACTCTTTATATTCCTTAATATTAAGAACTTTACTATTTTTGTCATAATCATCCTTGGTAACTAATTGAAATGTATTTTCACCAACTTTTTCCATTTGACTACTACGAGCCATTTTTACAATGACTCTAGCTGCTCCCTCGTCAAAACCTACAACATGACCATACTGGCCATCAAGTCTACCACATATGAACTGTACACATGATCCAGCTTTTAGTTTTAATTCTTCGTTGATTATTTTACTTTTTGGTGCTGATTTTATAAGTTTATCTGCTCCAAGTCCCATACCTTTAGGTCTTAATTCTGGCATATTAGAAACAACTAATTTAGCGTTTTTTCCAATACCTTTTTCTGGTTCCCAGCCCATTCCTCTAAGCATAGCTAACCCAAATTGCTGAATAGGAACATTTAAATAATCTTCAGCTGTTGATTCTTCTTTACCATCAGGAGGGTTAACTATCATTGGTACTTCTATAATTTTTTCTTCTTCAGATTCGTTCTCATTATTACTAGATAGCAACTCACGTACAGCCATTTCTTCTAAAGTTAAGGGTCTATCGTTAAGTATAACATCATCTTCTTTATTTAGCTTAGCTTTTTCTTGCTTAATTGATAAATTATGTTTGACAGAATTTGGCATTGGTATTACTAAAGGACCAATATTTTCTTCTTTATTAATGCCTAATATTTTAATTGAATTCTCTTCAACACATTCAACATACTGTATACATTTTTCTTGTGTTTGTTTAGAAACAGATATCACTTTAGGCTTTACAGAGACTTTACTAAAAGAAAACGAAATTTTTTTATCATCATCAACCATGTTTAACAAAAAGTGTTTTTTTCAACTAACAACTCAAATAAATAAAGTAATTTAAAAATAATATAAATTGTAATCAAGATTTCAGTTTCAATTAATAGTGTGTAAACGTTAATATACGCGTTCAGTTTTTCATGATAACGTTATCTACAAATAATATTTTACTCAGATTACGGGCTCATTGAAAATTTTTATTCAGTCTGTACCCTCTCATTTATTATCCCCATCTATTCTTTACATTCTATTTCACTTGATGTAATAGAATTTATATTTGTTTATCATCAATACAAATTATTCTCTCATTTTTATAGCCATCCACTTAAGTGGTCAAGTAAACGTACCTTTTTCTAAACATATGCTACTGATATTATCAAGTATGCTTCTACTTAAGCATTCAAATTCAAAGGTGGGCAAGTTATTTCGTTTTTTCTATTAACTTGTAAAGTTAAATTGATAGAATAAAATCAAGTTAAGTTACTATTTACTAAATTTTAATAGTATAGGTAAATTGGATATTACCGAACCACTAAGACCTCAAATAAGGACAAGGTTTGATATATATGAACAAAGATGTAGTTAATAATAGGAAATTTAGTTTGTTACGCCGCATTGTATGGTAAAATATTTAATAAATTAAACAGAAATTAATTATTACAAAATAACAAAAAACTGAGAAAGCGCGGCATTGTCAAACTGATTTTATCAAACCATATTCATAGTAATTTGGTGAAATTCGATGAATAACCATATAATAAAAGATAAAAATACAATTTTGAGTTTGCACATGCTAGTGAGTGAAAATAAGATGCATTGACTAGTTTCTATTTCTAGAATTACTGGAAAACGATACGGAAGATAAAAACAGCTATTTAAGCTAATATTCATAGTTGTTTTTTCCGTTTGGAGGAAAAATAAGACGGAGGTAGTTGGCCGTAAGACCAAAATAAAGGAGACAATAGCTGCTAAGCCGGAACCCCCTCCATCCGACCGCAGAATAACTGTCGTCGAAGGTGCCTCGTACGGAAACTGTGGTGATTGACCCCCTCAGGAAATGTCAGCAGTGCGCTACAGTCATAGAGACTTCGATAACGACTGTTGATCTTAAGGCTTTGGGTGTCCAGCTATCGGGCACCATAATGACCCAGGCGGGTGCCGCTGTGCTGGAGGTCTAGGGAACGGGCGCCCAGACCCCACCCAACCGAACTTAGAAGCGACACTGGGGGGGGACATACGGATTCATCGATCGGCGAAGTCCATCACCGTCATGCTCCTGGATGTGAAAAAGTAATCGAAGGAAGGCGCAGCACGTGACGTACTACTAGATGACCTGCAATTTATTTTTAGCTTCCATGCGGAGCTGAGAAAGTATTACTTTTACCAAGGTGTATTTTTTTTGGGCCTGTCACTATTTTTTTAGCTATCGCTGGATCATTTTTTTTCAACGATACACTAAAAGATCACAAATCGTATTTAGTCGAAGATATTACCTTCAAAAATTAAACATTGTTCCCTTAAATAGTAGAAATTCACTAAATATTACTACTTTTAAAATGTCAACATTGTTTCATTTTTTTACATAAAACTGTCATAACTTTTTGAAAAATAGATGAATTGTAGTTGGTTCTTTTAATATTTTCCAGAGCCTAAAAAAATTATTTATTAATTTTTTAAATTGAAATTCAGCGAATAAATTACAGTAATTAAATTAATTTCAAAATACGTGATTCTATTAACAATTAAAGTGATTGTGCTATAATGGACTAAAACGGCCTAAAATAATGGGTCTTCTTAATTAGTAATGTACAACTAGGTGTCATACATAAAAAAATGTTGATTTTTTTTAGTTGCAAATGTTTTTTGATTTATCAGCTTTTTATCAGAATAAGCCTACCAACTAACCAGGATTTTCGCTGTGGCCTTCTCAATTGTGTTTATAATTAATCAAGAATAAAAAATAATTTAATAAAAATGTTATACTTATTTAAAATAAGAAATAAACTGCAATCGTTCTTGACGAAAGAGGCCCTATCTAATTTTTCTTATATTAATTTTTCTTATTAAATTATAAGACTTAAGCTGAATGACAAAAATGTTAAACATTTTAAATAAAACAATTATTAAAAAAAAAATATTCAATGTGTTTTAACATTTAAGTTGCTCATACTTGAATAGACTCTCAAAATCCGCGAGTTTTGATGACCATTCTCTCTGGACCCCCTTTAATCTGGGGAGTTTAGGCATACATTTTACACTTTTAACGAAATACAAACTATAGTTAATTAAAATAGTTGTCACAATGATTTCAAAAAAGGTATCGTAATACTAATGAGGTAATTACACTAAGGCTAGTTACGTATTCAAGATAGTGGTATCTTAGACAATATGAATTTCTTGCTTTAAAAATTACTGTTTATAGATTTTAGTCTTTTAAAGAAAAGTTATATAATTTAACTATTTAAGATTTTTTTTTAATGACCATTTTTTTAAGTAATTATCATATTTAAGAGAAAAAGTTTTGATTATCAACGAATAAGCAATTTTCTTTATACAACAAAATATGTTTTCTCTCTAAACATATAGAGGGACATTCACTCAACACCCATACTTTTATTGGATTTTTTATTTTAAGACTTTATCAATTGAATGAATACTTAGAAATACCTAAATAAATTCTAAAACCCAAGACCACAAAACACTGTAAATAATAAAACTCCAAAATTGGTATTGAAAAATAGCTATAATAAAACTCACTATCATCTGAAGATATTATACAAAGAAAAATAGTTGGAGCAAAGGTGACAGAGTAGTCATAAATTTCTTTACAATATAAACAGACTATTAAATTTTTACGAGATAAATTAAAAAAAAAACAATTATTCTATGTATTTAAAATAAATTATTCTTTATTTATATTTAAAATATTACAAACCTTAAAAATATTTACTTTGGACATAATATTCAATTTCACACCTATCACAAGTATAATAAAACAATTTACAAAAACTCATAATAAAAAAAATTAATTTCAATAAAAAACTTATAATTAAAAGATACTTTATTTATAAAAAATGTATTCATGTATTGCTCAACAATTTTCAATAATTTAAAAATGATGTATTAAATACATTGATATAAATTAATTTATGTAAATTTTACATAAATTAATTTATATTAATACTCTAGAATTAATTTAAGTTTTTTTATTTTTTTTTTAACATTTTAACAGTACTGTCTGTAAAATAAAATACAAAATCTCAACATCAATAAATTAATTTTTTAATGGTTTGCTAATTATGTAAATACTTTTTAAACTATGAAACATTATGTATAACTTACAAAGTTTTTATTAAAAAACCTATGAAAAAATAAACAGATCTGTATCACTTTTATGGAAATAAAATGAAAAGATAATATTGGTTTTCAGCTAATAAAAGTACGAAACGTTATGGAAAGAACTTAACTGTACAAAATGTTAATAAATTTGATATTGATTAATTTTGTGAAATTTGCAATTGGTAAATAATAATTTGTATATCAATATATAAGCATTAAATTTTTTTTATGAAAATATGTAACCCTAAGTTTGGAATGATAAAAAAAAATTGTTAGTTCAAAAATAGTTACAAGTTAAATTAAATTAGAATTTTTAAAAATTAGTTTTAAGGTATTTGGCCAAGTGTATATATGTATAAATAATGAATAATAAACTAATCATCTTATTTTTAATTTAAGTACTTAAATTTTTATCTTATTTATTCTTTACTAAAATAATATAAATTTAAAATTTTTATTCTGCCCTAATGAGATCTTCAGATGCTGCCACAGAAGCAATCTCACGAAACGACTGTTCTAAACACTGTTTTAATTCTTGGTAGGTAACAACTAAAATAGTCTTTTCATCACGAGAATACAGACAAACCTAAAATAAAATACTCAAATTTAAGTTTATAAAAAGAATTATAATATAATATATACAGTGGTAAATTAAATACATATTTATTAAAAGTTGAATGATTTTCCTAGTTTATTTTTTAATTAAAGCATTGTAACTTAATATAATTAACAAATTATAAATAAACTGTATACTAACATTTTAGTAATATAAATTAGTAATATACCATTCGAGAATAAAATAAATAAAATTAATTGTTTAAAAATATAGTAATAGAATGTAAAATGAATTAAGTTATACATAATATAATATGTGTTTTTTTTATAATAAAAAAAATCAATTATTCATTAAATAATATTGAAACTTTTTAATGTTTTTTTTAATAAAATTGAGTATTTTTTTAAATTGCAGTTATCTTTTTAACGATTATGATGCTAATTATTTATTTATTAAAAAACAATGAACGAGAGCCCAGTACATACATCTAAATAAACTTAAAAAATAAAATAATACGACTATAAATATTATATACATTGATGACATAATATCATACAATATATTAGTAACATTTACAAAATATTTAATTGAACTCTATACTATTTAAATAAGTTTTAAAACTATCGATTCAAGAAGACACAAAAATTTCAACATTTAAGTTGTTTGTTATTACATTAACCTATTAACAGGGTCATTAAATTGCATATTTTAACTACTTTTAGTAGGATAAAACAATTTTTTTCACCTAGTGTTTATAGGACGAATCAAAAAATTTAATTTAAATTTAAGTCTAAAAGCTTATGTAATAATTTAAAAAATCACAAATCAAGCTTATCTCTTATTTTTAAAAGATCAAACTTTAAGAATCTTAAAATTCAATAATATGTTGAACAATCAACTCATTTAATTTTACATGTGTAACATAAAAATCTTAAGAAATGTTTTTTAAATATCATCAAAACTTGTCCTATGGCTATTGAAAAAGGATATCCAAAGAATCATGAGGTTTAAAACTAATTTGAACCTAACTATATCACTATATAATATATTTTAAGTAAACAAATTTTTAATTCCATTACAATTTCTAATTAAAAAATCTAATAACTGATAAGATTTACTGATAATGTCAGTAATATGTAAGTAAAAAGAAAGAGAAAAATTAAGTGTATACCAAGATCATTCATGAAGGATAATTTATTAAAAGGTACAAATTAAATTGAATACAGAAAGGAAGATTTACTAAAAAGTAAAATAAGTGACAATATTACATTTGTCTATATTCAAAAATAAATTATTTACGTTACACCACACACAAGTTCAGATAAATAATTTTACAATAACTGAGAATCAGACAAGGACGAGATAATTTGAAATATTTAAAAGTTATTTTATTTATAATATTATCATTATACATATCAGACTTCACACCAACTATGTGTGTAGTATTAATGCATGTCCGTCTACTGAGAGTAGCACTGGGTATATTATACAATTTTTGGTGATGAATTCAATTGTTATTTCTATTTTAGTAATATACAATACAATATTTTTAATACTAACCATTTAATTTTTCATAAAATAATGCTTTTTGAAATTTAAATTGTGGATTTTGTTAGTTATATGTGTAATTTTATTTATCTGTTATAAAATAATTTTTAGGTTCATCATAATCTTATCTTAATAAGAGCTTCATAAAATAATTTCGAAATCATAATGTTTAAAATTAACAATAAATTGTTAATTGGTATATTATAAGAATAATAAGAAGTAAAACTAAATACATATACATAAAAATATATAACTTAATTTCAAATAAATATAATGCTTATATTAATAAAATTGAAAAACACTTTAATTACTAGATAATTAATAGTTTAATAGATATTTTGTCTTATTAAGATAATCCTCAAAATTTTCATCATGTTAAGAGTTATTTATAAAAATCATACTTACTGTATCATTTGAACCAGCATCTAATTTATTTAGTGTCTGCACAATATGTCCCATATCCAACCATGGTAGACCTTCTTCAGTTACTTGATGAAATAAGTGATCCCTGAATAGTTTTAATAAATAACGATCACCAGTTTCTGACCAAGATGGATCCATGTTAAACCTACAATTAGGTATAATAAATAAATGTTAGTACTTATTAAATAGAAATAATTATTACTCAGGACGTTCATTAATTGATCCAAGTTTCACCAACAATCGAAAAAGTCTACCATTTTCTATTTCTTTGGTCAGTTCATTTTCAAGAGTATCTGAATGATTTTGAACTGAATCTAATTGTGTATAAAACCTGGCTCCTATCATAGGCATCAACTCAGTTATGTGTCTCCTTTGACTGCTCAACAAATATCTAAAAAATAATTTATGTTAATGTATGATGGTGTCCCATAATATTCTCACAATTTACAATAAGAATAGTATGTGAATTTATTAGACATTGTGGGACATTTTGTATATATAATTTTATAATTTACATATAATTGATAGTATAATCACTTATTAATGTTTTATACTTCAATTTCTATAGAATTTTATATTTTGTAAAAAATTGAATTTTTGGTAATTTATTTTATGGTATCATAAACTGGTTAGTATTAAAACAGGATAGTAGTAAGAACAATTTTTTGGACTTAATATTGACTATATTCATAACTGAAGATATGTCTATAGTTGAAATAGTAATATTATTAATACATTAACTTATTTTTAGTTGGTCATCTAGTTTATTAACTCTTTAATTAAAAAAAAAAAAGCTAAACTAAATTTTACTTTATTTTTCTTTAAAAAAATAATTGTAAAAGAAAGCTAAAGTGTAGCTAACATTTTACTATATATTTTGATCTAGGAATCATAATTAGAATACTGTCTAAATAATTAGATTATCATAAAATAAGTCTAAGATAAAATGAATACTTTTCGTATAAATAATAGCACAAAGAAAAAAATTACAAATTTTAAAATACTAAAGAAGTTTAATAATGTAACATTAATAAAAGATTTTGCCACCAATTACTTTTTCAAAAAAAAATTAAATAAAAGTTACTTAAAAATATTTTTAAACTTTCCTTGAAAATTTTTTCAATTATGAATTTTTAAACAATTATTTATATTATAATGAAATTTTAAAATTTATAAAAAAATAGAATGAAACACAAAGTATTAACTAAATCAAAAGTTGTATAAGGTTCTAAAAATATATGTTAATAAAACATAAATATAAGACTTGAATTTGTTTTGTATGGATATAAAATATTTTTATTAATAAATAATGAATTTTAGTTTGAGGTAAAAGCCCAACGTAGATCTAATACATTTTATATTTATATATACATTTTACACTTGAAATAAATGAAGCTTAAAGATCATTTTATTAATTTTGAATAATTAATCCAATCATTTTTAGTTAAATTTTGTGGTAATTGTCTTATTTATTAAAATATATTATTTTTTTCTATGACGATGGGAACTTACTACCTGTCTCTGAGTATAAATGGTTAAGAAAACTCCTTCTTTGGGGAGACCACTATTGCTCTTAATGGACTGATAAAGCGATAAAAATAAATTAAAAAAAAAAAAAAAAAATTTTATACCTAAATTTCTTTTTTTTATTATTCTAATTAAATATTAAGAAATTAAACATCAAAATTATTAAATTCAATAAACTTTTCATATATTGTGTATAAAAACCTGTTTAAATTTATTTATTTAAAAAACTTGCTTAATACTAACTTGACCTTTACTCCATTTATGGGGTAAGAGTATACTTTGATACTTCATTTTATTTCAGTTAATAACGATTAAATTAAATTAAAATCTAACAATTATCATACAATTTGTAATTTTTGATAGTTTGTCTACTAGAAGAAAAAACTATTTATAGTAGTATACTATATACTACGAGTTAAAAAAAAGTGCACACTTATACCCCAGGTTACTTTATTATTTTTATCAATCAATTTTGAGCATTTTCCACTACATTGTGCCACTATAATACACAAATAATTAAAAAACAAATTGAAAAGCATTGATTCTGGAGAACTATGTAATCATAGAGGGAAAATTAACAACTCAAATTAAACAGAACACCATTATCTACATGGACGATTTTCAATATATATATATTTTTAAATATTTAACCATTTAAAAAAGTTAGAAACATCCGGAGATTAATAGTTTTAACTTTAATTTGTTTTAGTGTGCAAAAAAGTATTCAGACACCCTCTTATTATGAGTCACTGTAGGTTTTTAAAGAGTTGATCGATCACTTGTGATTTATGTGGTTTTTTTTATCAGTCGAGATATCAGAATGTGTTTAACATTAATAATGGTAACATCATGTCTCAAAATATGTATCTGCGATTTTTTTATAAATTTTTTTGTGGTTTTTTAATGAAATATTTAGAATATTTTTTTAATTTTAAATATATAGTAAAAAGTTAACATACCTAATTAAATTTCGAATATCACTACTATAAGTCCGAGCCATTAAATCAATAGATGTTGCTAAATTATCAGGATGCACAGCAATTAATGATCGACATGCCAAAGCCAATAAGAGTTTACCAAAGTCTGTTAAATCTTCTTGCTAATAATTTTAATTATGATTAAAATATAGTTAAAAGAGTGACTTTTATTTTTTATGAACTATACTTGAAAATGACTTATTATATTTGTACTTGACACATCATTCATTAAAATATCCATAATAGCTACACAATTAATTCTTAATCGTGCTCTAGAACTAACATTGCCTGTCACTAAAATTTTATTCAATTCAAGGCCTCGTATTGCCAAACCAGATCCATGGATTATTCTAAGGGCACCACTAAGTTGAATAGCATAATTCCACAATGTACTTTCAGACAATAATCCATTACTGAAAAAATATATAACAAACCATTAACTGAAGTATTATATAATAAGCTGATGTCAGTTAATTTACCAACACCTCCTCACATCATGGTTATTAACCAAATACAAACATTGTGAACAGTTTTAAACAATCAATGTTATCAGTTTTTTTAAATTATTGGTAAAATTTGCTTGTAGTTAATCATCATGAAGTTAAGAGGTTTTGATAAAAGGAAAAAAATCCATAAAAAGTGACATTAGCTTTTTTTATATAAATCACAGATATCAATGCTATTATTCACATAAACTTCATAAACTTTATAAAAAAATTATTTCTTTAATTCATCAACGCTGAGTGTTCTCAAATCGTTTGACTAGTTTAATGTTCAACAATATGCAACAAATCCACAAAACTTGACAATGTTTAAAAATTCTAAGTTTTATGATAATTGCTCTTGGAATCGATTGGTTAATAGACTAATTTAGTATTCAAATAAAAAAAAATAAATGTTTAAATTGTATTATGATTTAAAACTTAATTAAATTACTTTTTACTTATTTATTGAAATACTACTACAAATATTTCAAAATACCTATGCTGATGTCTTAAAATTGCATTTTTTGTATGACTGTATGGTCTTGGAGCGTTTGGATCAGAGCTAAAAGGGTCATTATACCCATTTATTATTTCATGTGAATTAAAGTGTCTAGTTTGCAATGACTCAGAATCCGGATGATAATTGTAGGAAAATATTAATGCTAAAAGTAATATAAATTAAAATAACCTCTTTCTACTAATAATAATTTTTTTTCATACAATTATCATTAAAAGCTTTTGTTACAAAAACATCTTTCAGTTGAACTATATTAGCATGAGTAATTTTCTTCCAAGTTTCAATCAAAGGACTATACTTAGTAATAAGTTGTCGAAAACCTATATACACAAAAATATACTATCAAAATATAAAACAAGAAAATTTATTAAGAAACAAAAATTTAAGCACTTACCATGTATGCGTTTTAAACAGCATTTTTCTCCTGTCTTAGAATTTGTAGCTCTATAAGTTGAAGTATTAAATGTTAATACTTTTGATGAGTGCCCATAATTATCCAAGGGATAAATTTCATAATAATCTTCAATACTTTCTGGTAAATCTAAAAAAAAAGAATTTTATATTTTAAAATTGTGAACTATAAAACGTAAAATGGATATAAATATATAAAAATTAAATCATTTATACCTGGCCACTGATTAGCATCTGGGGACATAATTGACAATGTATTTCTGTGCAATAAATCTCTTCTAAGATCATCTTGAGCATATAGACCAGCTGTAGGTGATTCAACTGAAGGAGGCATTGATAAATATCCTGAAGGATCATCATACATAACATTGTTGACTGAATTAGGACCATTTGCTTCTGGAGGGTAAAAATAAGTAGTACCATTGACGTTTTTCTAAAAAAAAAAAAATAATAATTACATTTTAACACATGTAATTTAAAAGAGAACTCTTACCTGATATGCTTGTATAGACTGAGATTTATCTTTATATAAAGAGGAATTATCAGAGTTATTGGATGGATTAATTAAATTTCTTGGAACAAAGTCAACTGTTGGTACAGATGCCTGTAACTTTAAATTGATAGATTTTATATATGTAAAGCAAATAATCACTACAGAAACAACTTTTTACTTATTAAATTTATTTTCCATAATATTATTATTATTATTGAATGATTTACAATAACAGCCAACTAGATTTATATTCAAATTTATAGACAATACAATTTTTAAAAAATGAAAACAATATCTCATGTAAGTGTTAAGATCTTTTTAAAATTTGTATATTTTTCTTACGTATCATTTCTCCCCAGGTTGATTGTATTGATAAAAAGCATTTACTAAGGTTTTAATTTAAATTATTTTGAGATAACTCATAAAATTACTATTATATTATTATAATATTTTGATAAAATTAATTATTCAACATGATCAAAAAATACACAATTTTAATAAATAATGAATATTACTAAAAAGATATTAGTTCAATAAATTTATTCAATCCAAGACTTTATTAACATTTTGAAACTAAACAAAAATTAATTAGATAAATTTATGTCTATTTTCTAAAAGCAGAAATGTCAATTTATCAGAAGAGTAAAAATAAATTATACATTTCATGGTACTTATACAAATCAACAATTTAGCAATTTTGAAAGTAAAAATATTAACTTCATCAATAAATTTAACTCCTAATTTTTTGGCACATGAAATAAATATTTACCTTTATTCAAATTTCAAAAATATTCAAAAACTTATTTTTGAAATTTATCAGTTTTAAAACAAAATTTAAATCATAAAAATTATTATATAATATAAAAAATATATAATACATAAAAGTTTCTATTTAAGTTAACTACTCTATTTAGTACTAATTTTTTAACCTCACATTGGTCGATTAAATCACACCAGTGATTTTCATTTGTACAAGGTATTATACTGTTTATCTTTTAGTATTATTAATACTTACTTTTTTCATTGATTCATGTGACTGGTTCATCTCTAAATTTGAAAAATTTTTTGACAGAGATTGAAACAATGCTGCTTGAGGAGAAACATTACTTTGACGTTTCTGTATAAAAATATTAAATAATAAGTAAAATTATAGGCTTTTATAATTATTTGAAAAATAATTATTGCTCTAAAATTGAGATACTCTGTGAAATATAGATTATAAAGATAACTTATATATGTATAAAAGTGGTCATAAAAAACTTAAAAAAATATATTCTTCTGATGTTTTTGTTTTTTCAATGAAATGTAAAATTATTGTTCAATTGTAAAGCTATGTACTATCCAATAAAAATATGAATTAACCCAATTAGCCAATTAAGAAAAAGTGATATTTTAACATAAAAGTCTATCTCTCACAGAATGGTAGTTTAATGAGGAAGTGAAATCCTAGGCTATTTCTCTGGATACACTGCTATTAAAAAACTTCATATAATCAGATAGTTCAGAATGGTGATGAAGTATGCATACATTTTCAGTATACATTTACAATATAAATATACTTTGACTTACACTAATATATATTAGAAATAATTAGCCTTAAATTAGTAAAACTACTATTAATATTATAGAGTATTTATACAATACCACAATAATATAAAGCATAAATATAGTAAGAGATTACGATTTATCAGTTAATCACCAAGAATGTTTTCAATAAAGATTCTAAAAATTATTCTATAACTTATAAAAGCCTATGGTATACTCCAGAATTTGAATAAAATTTTAGCTATAACAGTATTAGCTGCATAAAGAAAAATAAACAAGTTTTTAACTTTATGCATTACTTAAGTCCCTATAAAATATTTAAAGTGTTACAATTAAAAAAAAACAGTGCCACAATGGGGTTGCAGCACATAATGAATTTGACATAGTTCAGACAAGTATAGATAACATCTGACAGTGATTATAATCACTATCATAATTAATGCTTCTGTGCAAATCTGTTTAATGTTTAATTTTAAGTAATTGGTGCATTATTCAGCAATTATTTATTATTAAATTCAGCAAAATAAAAAGCAATATCAACTCATATTTCCTTATTTATAACCTGATTACAAGTTTTATGATTTATAAGTATAATACATGAATAAATATTTATTATAGTAATTAAAAATCCCAGCACAGGGGGGTCGCGGTACAGTGGTGACATGGCATAGTAGGATCAAGTATGATATCTGACAGTGATTAAAATCACTATAAAAAAAAAAAGCTTTGATGCAAATCTTTAGATAGTGTTTAATTTTAAAAAATGGGTGGATTATTCCAATAGCTACATGATCTGCTAGTTCCTTAGTAATATCCTGATTAAGATAAAGTATGTCGAATGAAAGAGGGATTAATAAATAATATTATTTCTCATAAAAAATTTGTGTTGATCCATACACTTTTCAATAAGTTATAGCATAATAAAGTTAAAAATGTAAAATACAAAATCGAGAATTTTCATACAAAAATAGCATTTGTTGGCCATTTTCACCGTGAAGATAAAATAAAGTCCGAAATTTTTTTAAAATTTCTTTTAAATATATTACATTAGCTTTAATTTAAGATATATATAAAAGTGTCAGACTTTCTGGAACACTTTCAAAAGTTAAGTGTAAAAGTAAATTTTTTGTGAAAAGGTTGTCATTTTGTTATAGTAATCATACATTGCATCTGTCAGTAGACAAAAAGAATAATTTAAGCTAGTTATAAATTTCAAAGTCATTCTTCTCGAGTTAAAGAAAAGAATTAAAAGAATAAATTAAATATTTTTAACATTATATTTAAAATAAGTATATATAAATAACAGTAGATAATAAATAAATGTGAATATTTGAAATTAAAATTGAAATGTATATAAAGATAATTTCATATTGAATTTATTTTGAGAGGAGAAATTGTGAACCCCAAACATTTTTTTCATAATTTTGGAAATGTATAAAATTCTAACAAAAAAATTTTATTTTTAATATTTTTTAACATTATACAGTTTTTTTTTATCAAAATAGATATTTTTGTTTGAAAAATTAAAGGGGATTGGTCCTCTAGAATACTTTTCTTAATATGTAAATGCATTATACACTAATTTCTTAAAAATACTTTCTAGTAAGTTTTTGTACAATTTAATAATTTTTTTTTAATTTTCTAATTTTTACTCAAAAATTGTATTGTTTTCTTTAAATTTGATACTTGATTTCAACACAAAGACAAATCAAGAGATCAAATTTTTTTTTTCAAAATTAAGTATACCATATAAACTTATATTTAAGATATACATACATATGTCAGTATTTCTGGAATATTTTCAAAGGTTAGATTGTAAAAGTTAATATTTATGTAAAATTGCTATTTTTAATCACGTTAGGGGCAATTAAAGGGTCAAATATTCAAAAAATATATAAACCAAAATATAAGATAATATTTATCAGAAAGGGGCCCCAACGGCCTAAGTACATCATAGTTACTTGGGTTGCCTTGGATGAGGCGGCTTCTACCCCGTGGAAAGTCAGAGGAAAAGGAGGTAGGCCGAGGCTACTCATCAGTAATAGCCTAGACCCGGAAAATCAGGAATATGGAACAAGTGAAAGGAAAGTGGTCTGGGCCTAAGGGACCCACACCTGGGAGACAAGGAGGCTCCTGTGTCGCGGGGGGGCGACGGCGATGTTCACCCAACGCCAACCCGCCCAAATATTAAAAAATATATAAACCAAAATATAAGATAATACCTTAAGTATCTATAAACAAATTTTCTTTTATTCATTAATTTTTCAAAAAGTTATGGCTTTTTAAATAAAAGTTTTAAAAATGTCAAAAATTACTCATTTTAAAAATTGTAATTTTTTAAAGATTTCTCCCATTTATGAGGAATAAGGGAAATTTTTTCAGTTTTTGAAGTTAATGTCATTGATAAGATACACTTTGTGATCTTTTGACGTAGTGTTCATCAAAATTGGTCCAGTGAATGTTGAGAATAATTGGTAACAGGCACAAAAAATAAATAGATAAACAAATCATAGTAAAATTAATACCTTCTCATTTTTGCATTGAAGCTAAAATTGTATATCTCCAATAAGTTCTGTATAATTGAGTTCTATACAAATAAAACCATCCATAAATATGGTTGGTGTTATGTACAATTTGTGTCATTACAACAACTTTAAAACTCAAACTGTTTGATTGGATAAAAAAATTGCAAAAACAAAATTGTTTGACTTTTTTTCTTCTATCGTATCATCACACTAAAGAATGGATTTTCATTAACAAAATTTATAGTTAATATCCCTGAAGGAATTAAAGTAAAAAAATTAATTTCATAGTATTGTAGTTTTTTTTTTTAAACAACACTATTTTCTTTGATGAAAATTAAAAATTTTAAATAAATTCCAAGAAAATAAATGTCAAAATATTTCATGGATCTCTCTGTAGACAAATTTCAAATAACTATAACTTTTGAATTGTTAGCTAATGATTCACAATAGTACAAATTCATTATCAACATTAAAATAAATAATAATAATAATTCATTATTTAATAGTCATTAAATTGAATTCAAGCATAAGGAATAACAACATACCATATAGGTAGCAAGTTTTGACTCTTCTGGTGGACCATTTTGTAGCAAATTATACTGTGTAACTAATGTCATTGGATCCATTTCAAAAAATATTTTTTCTACTATAAACAAAATACAAAATAAGAAAATTTATTTATCACATCAAATTATATAAAGAGTATTAAAAATTTTAAGAAAATAATTTTAGTATTAAAAATAAGTTATATTGTAAAAGATTCATAAAATTTTCAAAGACTTGTTAAATAATAGAATATTAGTCAAAAAGTAAATATATTTTGATTAATTATGATAAAATTTTTTTCAAAAACGCTGTCTGCAACTTCTAACAAATTAAAACTCAAATTATAACAATATATTAAACAAAATTTTAGTTAATAATATAAATTTACTTGATACATTTTTAACTTACTTAAAATAATTCATCGAAATTTTACATTTAACATAAACACTTTGCTTAACATTATTACACTTATTATAAAATAATTGAATATTGATCCATACATTTAAATGAATGTATCACTTACTGATTAACTGATTCAATAAAAAAAAGTAATAATTGCAATAATGGACAAAAATAATTGTTAAATACCAAAATATGTTTTGCAAACCAAATAATGCGTATCAACACATGCCAGATGCGATGAAAAGTGAAAAGAAATTCAATACATTGATACTTCATTTAAACATTCAGAAAAAATTTAAATTAAATAAAAGCCGGATACTGTTTACTAATTGCGACACAATTTACTCTAAATTAATTTTTCTTCTCATTTCTATGCGTAATAATTCTTATACATTTTTGATACTTTGTTATTGTTTTTACTCAAAATATAAATTATAATTACAACTAGTCATGGAAGATAAAAGTATGATAACAAAGTACTCTTAGATTAATAAATTAAAGATTATTATTATATCTAATAACCTTGCACTGTAACATAACAGATATAATTTAAACTGGAATCGTTAATCCATAGTGAAATTTGGTCAATTGAGGGAACATTTAATATGAACAACTTCGGGCAGTTTTCCGAAAGGTCAATTCTTGGAGCACGTTACTTTACCGGAATTTTTGTGGGTGGGAACGTTTGTTTCACAAATTTCTTGTTCCGATTAACATTTGAAACAACAATTTTATAGAACAAAAGTGCATGGATCAAATATGACTTGGAACAAATAGATCATGGAAAAATAAATAAATGGAATTTAATAAATTTGAAATATAAGAATTTTGAAATAAATGTTAATTTGTATAATATAGTAACGGGAAAGTTTATACATTTATATTGGATCAATTATCCAGACATTTCTTCCAACAAAAATGAAATCATAATAGTGATAATCAAAATACCATACATATTCTGAAATTAAGAAGTCGCCTTAATATGGAATTATGTTGATTATATAAAAGTTTTTATTCATAATTAAAATATTTTATTTGATATATTGACCTTATTATTAAAAATAAAGGATGGTAATTCTTTTTAGATGTTAAACGATAATGGATTAATACTTTAATAATAGTTAGAATATTTTAATGAAACACAAGTTTAGTTTGATCACTAATCTCACCGTTCCTAACATTTACCTAAAATCAGTATTATTCGGAATACAGAAAATCTCGGTACGAAGTAAAAGCTGTTTTCGAATAATTAACTGTTTCATAAACCCTTTTATTAAAATAGGTCCTATGGTAGTAATTAGGTATTGTCATTTTTGTATTTCGGATATTTTGCTAAGTTGTGGCAAATAATAGCCACATCATATTATTTTTGTGAAACTTAAATTTAATTTTAAATATAATTAAATTTTAATCTAATTAATTCAGAAAATATTTCAAGCATTATAAATGACTACGAAAACTTAATAAATATCATTTATAAAAATCGATATACAAAAATTTTGTCATATAATCTGCTCTGTAATAAGCATATAAATAATAAAATTCTTATATAATTCAATACAAATTTAAATAAATATTATTTTCTTATTTATTTATTTTATATCTTTTATAATGTAAATATATAGAATGTTCAGTAAATTTTCTATTGTTCTTATTGTTTGTAACAACGAGAATAATAAAAGTTAGTTTCCTTTCTTGCTAAACACCTATATATCAATGATGTTTTGTTGAAAAAGCATTTAACGTTAATATCACAGTAGTTTTAGTAAATTTAAGATTTAGAAATGTCTTTTTAGAAAATATAGCAACAATGAGCTGTAAATGCACATTCAAGTTAAATCTCTAAAATGTTGAAATTATTACTATTACTTTAAGAAGGTTGACACGTTGTTTTGATGACCTGTTTTAATCTTATTACTTAAGAAGGAGTCTAAGTATTTTTTTGGCGCATCAATTGATGTGCCGAAATATGTTTAAAACCATGTCTCGTGCAATCATAGATTCTGAAGAATTGAATGATCGTAGAGACACGATCAATATGTTGAATTAAACATGACAAAGTTTCTCCTGAAAAGTAAGAAAAAGTGACTTACTGCCTTATTCGTTGTGCATATAGAAATGTTCCATACCCATTAAATTAAATTCAAAGTCTGCTATGTGTATTTTTGACACTGTAATAATTAAACAGTTAAATATTAATAATAGAAGTAAATGATTAAAAAAAAATTATGTAATAATAATTATTGTTTTGGTGGTAATGCAACATATCTGATTACAGCAATGCACAAAAGTTACATTTCTGTAACTAGATATGTTTGGAAAAAAAATTTTTGAATTATTTTTTCGGTTTACTCATAGTTGAGATATTGTTTCGTAAAAACTATTGACGTCACTATTGAACAACAATTATTGCAAACACTTGATATTATTGCTGACAGTGATTATTATAATCAATCTTATATACTTATTTACGTAAAATTTGTAACCTTAACTCATTCATTTTATTTAAAATTCACATTAGTACAGTTTTATGAATAATTAGTAAACAACGTACATAAAAAATAAATTTAATTATGGTTAGTTAATATTAGGATTGAAATACTAGAAAACTTACCCATCATCGAAAGATATGTTAATATATCAAGTAAGTAAAAAAAATAATTAGTTTTATTTTTAATTAATCGCCAACAAAAATTTTTAAATAACTAGAACGAGCATATATAAACTGCTAGGAGCAAATAAATGAATTCGTGATCATTTTGCTCCATGTTACCATTTTCGCCATTACTTGGATGATTGGACTGAGGAAGTGTTTTCATCAATAAACCTATTCTATGGTTTATTGATGTTATAGCTAAAGATTCCGTAGTTATTGCATAAATATATCTAAGGCTGTTGTATCCAATGCTATACTATTGCAATATCTGATATATGATCATAAGGGTTTTTGTGATTTGTATCATCACAAAAAATCTATTTTAACAAAAAACCGCCAAATTTTAACACTTTTAAATCACTTCTTACTACTCAAACTTTTTTAAATATTGTTCATCAGCATGAAAAACTGATGTAATTTAAAAATTAATTGAAAAAAGGGTGCCAGGTTAACTTGATTTATATTAAAAAAACAAACACAAATCTTTGATGTACTCGAGATGACTTAGAATTTTAATATAAATTTTAGAATATAATGTTTCAATAAGCAAAAAATGAATAGTAAGTATTAAATTATTAGATATTTGAAACTTAATGATTTAATTTAAAGCATTAATACTCGTATTCAAAAGTTATCAGGCATGTAATGAATGACCACTGACAGTTTGTTGTTTACATTCGGTTTTTGTTTTTGTTGTTGTTTACGACATTCTAGGCATTTAGCTCTTCCTTTTTTATACCAACAATTGTCCGTTATGTTAATTGTAGTTTTTCCACGCATTCATTTATTTTTCAGGTAGGTAACCAATTTTTGTTTATAGTCCATTGAAAATTTTTTAGAAAATTACAACAGAGAAGATGGATGTTACAATTAACATAAAAGAAAATTATCGGTATAGAAAAGGAAGAGTTAAATGCCCAGATGTCGTAAACAACAACAAAAACAAAAACCGGATGTAACCAACAAACTGACAGTTGTCAACAAAAACAACAACAGATAAACAACTTGGATGTTATCAAATATCAACTGATGTAAAAATATATCGTAAACAGTTAGTTACAACCACGAACCTGTAACTATCACTCTGTAGATGAATTCTGCAGCGAGTCCGAAACGCCAGCTCGTGACAATATATATATATATAAGTGATTAAGAGAAAATATGTAAAATACATATAAAATCTTCATTTAAAAAAATTAAAACCCTTTAAAATAGTAATAAGTGTTCAAACTATCGAAATTTTTTATGCAACTAAATAGTTTATTTTTAGCATACACTATCATAAACTACCAAAGTTTAAAAACTATTAGGAAAGATTGGCTAACTCGATAGCTTAGCTCATTTCTGAAAACATGGATACATTCGTAAATATTACAAGCAGTAGATATATATATATACATATTTTATTGAAATTATGAAAAAGTCTTAGAAAACCTAAAATATAAACGTAACTTCAAAAATTTGTCTATGGGGGTATTATTTCACAATATTGAATAATAAATTAATAGAAAGCTCTTTCCACTCTTCCCAAAAAATCATCTTTAATTATGGGGGCTAAGCTCCAATGATAACTACGCTAATGATCTTAAGTCTATAATATAGGCCACCGAGTCAATATTATAGACTATACTTTTTTGAATAACTAAATTTTATTGCACAATTGATAATGTAATAAAATTTTTTTAAGAATAACAATTTATTAAATGCATATTTTATTGTATATTTCACATACTTGCATTATATTTGGCTCTTTTTAACACGCTTATATTAGTTTCACTTGTATGTTTGTTTGTTGTTTGTTGTTTGTCGTTTGTCGTTTGTCGTTTGTCGTTTGTAAGTTTGTAACTCCACGCGGCACGTGTTATTATGTCGCGTATCCCGTCGTGTATGACCTTGAGACTATACTGTTGTAACGCATTCACCCCACTCCGCTCACCAGTCGGCGCCAACACTATTTTTTTCTGTATAATTTTGAGTAAACGCCGCGGTGCAAAGTCCNGTTCATATAATTCCATGCTCTAATTATAATTAATTAAATAAAATACAAAGTGGTTCGTCTCTTTAAGGATAAAAAACCTAATCTTTAATTTTCTTTATTGAGGAAACCCTCATTTTTAGTTTATTGATAGAATATCAATAAATAGATTTCAAACAATTTTTTGTTCTAATTTATTTTCCCAATTAATGGTTTCTTTTTTAAAAATGTTTAAATATTTGAATTTCAAAAACAAATTCATCATTAATTTGGTTTTCACAATACTGGAGGTAACAATAGTCTTTTTCAATGGACCATAAACTTTTTATGATCGTTAACAAGAAAATTTAGGTATTTTATTTTAGAAGAGATGAAAGAAAAATAATTAAACTACATATTATAAAATTTTTCAAATCAAATAATATTTTCCTTTGCGAAAAATTAAAAATTTTCAACAGTTTGTAAACTAAACTCATATAAACCAGACTAACTTTACAAAAACCCGGACGAGGGTCCACCATGGGCCGAGGCAAACCAAAGGCAGAATTGCAGCACCATGGATTTTATACCTCATCCTAGGGGGAAAAAAGTTCTAGGATTAACAATGTGTTGTAACAATAATATTGAAATTACGTACTAACTCATCATCTAAAAAAATAAAATACTATGAACTGTACATATGCAAACAGATTAACCAAATGGCAACAGAAAAAATGTGGAAGAAATTAGCACAATTACCTATGGGCATAGATCTTCTAATGTATGAATCTAACTGTATGTATTATTTTGAAATCAAAGCCATCGATGAACATGGAAAAAGTTCGCCTTATGAACAAGCTCAAGTTTACATAAGAGATTAAAAACAATTTTTATTTTTTTTTTCTTTCCACAAACATAACTTGTTTATACATTATTATTATATTATACTGTACACTTAATTTTTATCAATATTAAATTATAATTTTTATAAATATTACATCATTTTTTAATGTGATTTTATGTTGTGAGGTCAGAACATTTAAACAAATTAGGGTAGATGTTGTAATAATAGTATTAACGTGACAAAAAATTATGTTATCATTTTATTACTCATATTATTGTGTATTAAAGGAAAATATTGTAAACTTTGATCACAATTAAATTATATGTCAATAAAAATATCTGGAAACACTAATTATGTTGATCCCTAATTGAATTAAAATAAAAGTATAAAAGACGGGTTAACGTGGCATAATAACTCACTCGCACACAGAATATCTCAGAGTCAGTTAGACATCAACATCATTAGTGTGAAAAGACATATTTAAAAAAAAAAAAAAGAAAAAAAGAATACTTATTCAAAGGTAATCAAAAATGCTGAACATAAAATTTTAATGTAAATAATAAAGTTTAAATAAGTACTTTTGGTAAAACTGAATCTATATAGAGCAGATTTCGTTTGAGCTGTTATTTTACGGTTGGCGATTGCTCTGGATTTTTGGTAAATTAAAATTTACATATACAGGGTGTTCAGTAAGTCAGGAAACGGGTTTCTATTGTTCTCATTGTTACAAACAATGAGAACAATAGATACCCGTTTCCTGTCTTACTGAACACCCTGTACATATGTGTGGTAATATTCCTTTTCTTTGGAATCGTATTAGTAAAAAAAAAAATAGAGAAAAAAAAACCATCGGAACACTGACCCCGATATAAAAAGTAACTCAAAAAAAAATAATAATAAGGAATTAAGCTTAAGACCATAAGAGTATCAATTATTTCAATATCTGCTCAAGCAACACATCTATATAAATATATAATATTATATATTATTCTTGTTCTTTAATCTTAATTATCTTTATTTTATTCCTTCACATCTTTTTTTGAGTTACAAAAAATGTTGAATTATTAAGATTTATTAATTATTATAAATTAATTTTATAATGAACATAACAAAATAAAATGGACAATGGTCATTCAAATAAATTAACTAATAAAATAAAGTGAAATAAAATACACAATACCCAAAATAATAGAGGTAAGATATATATATATATACAATACCATAAAATGTTAAATAGATAAAGTTAAGTAAAAAAATAGTATCAATAATTAAGTTATGGCCAAGGATAGCAGATTCATCAAATGTCTGTGATTATAAATTTGTCTGAAGAGTTATTTAAAAATTATTTATATTATACAATATCCAATTTATATTTCTTTTGCTTACAATATCATTTTGAGAATTAATAATCATTAAGTTCAGAAAAATGAAAGATAGTTTGAATAATTGAAAAAAGAAAGCTGTGAAATTTCTAGATCACTCAAAAGGCTGTGCCCAACACGATGGTCGTCTAGAATTGATTGTTTGATATCACTCAACCATATGTACCCAGATGTTATGAAAGTTTTAAACGAGTTTGCTTGTATACGAACGAGAAAAGTAAAAAAAATGTATGGTAAGCTATGTCAAGATAAAACGTCTTTCAGAAGGAAACCATTATTTTAAAATTCAAGTTTTATATCGATGTATTGATACTGTTGTGACACAATTGAAAACAAGATTTGTAGGCCTTAGTGAAATAAGTGATTTATTTAGTTGTATTTTACGACCAACTGTAATATCTGATGAAGAGATCAGTAAGAGAGCAAAAAAGTTGGCAGAGGCATTTGAGGACTTTAATCCAGCAGAACTTACAACACAAATTGAATCATTTAAATTTCTGTTTACTTCTGAGCTTAAATCTTGTCGCAGCGTTTTTGATATGACTAAATTACTAATAACTGATAATAATAATTCAATTACTAGTTCCCAGATTTGTTAACAGCATTTTATTTGTTCCTTACATTACCGGTTACTGTGGCAAGCGCAGAGAGGACATTCTCAAAGCTTAAATTAATAAAGAATTATCTCAGGAGCACCATGTACCAAACATGGCTCAGTGGCCTTGCAATGATTTCAATTGAAAATGAGCGGGCCAAAAAATTGAATTTGTCGTCATTCATCGTCATTGTCATACGTCAAGTTATTTTCTCAAGACCGTAGCAGAAAAAAAAGTTTTCAAGTATAAGTATATTCATATTTATAATTTTTTAATTCAATTTATAATTCAATAAGTTTTTAATAAACTATACAGTATACATAATTAAATTTAATTACATAATTTTATACACATTTTTAATGTGTATAAACTAAAATCCCTATGTTAGCTGAATTTGGTTACAGATATAATAGGGCCTCCGAAAAATTGTATTCACGGGCCTCAGTAAATGTAGTTCCGCCAGTGCTATCAATATATAGTTAATCAAAACATAATCATTATCGCGGTTTTCAGGTTATTCTAGTATTATTATACTAATAAAATACAATGGTAGTTCAATGATTTTACCATGTGAGGAGATGGAAAACCTTAATGAAAGTCATCAAAAGCTGGTCCCCTACATCAAAGCGTATTTAGTTTTATTATTCTATCAAGATGTTATTATGAACTATTAGATACGTATAAATGGTTATTTTCTTATTAAACCTATTTAGAACATTTAATTTATTTTAGAAAAGTACCCAGTTAAATTTATTTATAAATAATAATCAAGACTTAAAATTTCATCTCCCAAATTTGTAAGATAAAAATTTTTCGCATACAAACTATGTTATTTAAAAGATATATAATAGCTCGGAATCCTTGGAATTCCTAACTGTCACCTATTACAAATATCACAAAACTGGATTATAATTAATCCTCACAGTATTCTAAAGGAATCTTAAATTTGGCGCCAAAATTAAATACGGCCATAAACCGCTCGCGTTTATTAGGCACAGACGCGGTTTACTATTCGCGACCGCTTCATGTGTAACCCACTTAATAAATTAAATCACGTCCAGTTAATTAATTTATCGCAAGATATTAATTATAGTGTATTCTTAAAAAATAATATAAAATTAATGAATAAAAATCATTTGATGTTTTATCTACAGAGTAAAATCTATTGAAATAAATTAATCAAATATTTTTATATGTTATAATAATTAATATTTTTATAGACTGATTATAAATATATTTTTATGAGCAGTAAATAAATATATAATATTCAGGGCTATGTTTTATATGCATTTATAAAATTTGAAGGGTCTTATGCTTTTGTAACTTATTCGTAGGATTATTTTACAACGCTGAAATATATTTTGTTTTGGGAGAGGGATTAACCTATGTATTAAAAAATTGACTTATTTGACAAGAGATAACAGACAATTATTTATAATTTATTAATTAAAACCATTTTATTTTAAGTGACCAACTCTTAATTAAAATTAAAATTTAGTAATGAAGTTAAAAGATAATAATAATAGTAAAATTATATACCTTAAAGATTCGGATTTGATATTTTTTTGATAAAGATTAGTTTTCTTATTTAAATTTTGTATAGAACTATAATTTAATTAATAAGATTACAACATACATTTAGTCTCAAATAAAATGTAATCAGAAAATTTTTAACATCCATCAAACAACAAAAATTTCTGCTAAATAACCCAACCGATGGTCTATTTAGAAAAATCTTGTTAGTGTACTACACACCATTAAACGATGTATATCGCTTAAATTTTAAGTGGTAAATTCAATCGTTTTTAGTAGATGGAAAATATATTTTAAAAGCCAAGATATAATTATTGATTATTTTCATTTCGATGAAGAGATATTGGAATAAAAAAAATCCATTTTTAAGTTAAAATTTATTACTCTACAATTCATCTCTTATAATATATTGGTATTTTGATATGTTCTTTTTTTAGCTTCAATGCGAAGCTAAGAAAGTATTAATTTTCTATGATGTATTTTTTTTTTTTATGTCTGTTGCCACTTTTTCTCAGCTCTCACTAGACCGATTTCTTTCAAAAGTACGTCAAAAGATCACAAATCGTATCTAGTTGGAAACATTACCCTTAAAAATTGAGAAAAATTCCCTCGTTCCCCGAAAATGGGGGAAATATCCAAAAAAATTACACATTTTAATATCGGTAAATTTTGTCATTTTTTTCACTTTTTTTTCTTAAAACTTCCA